TTTTTTTTCCTCACCTCACCCCCACTTTTCACACCATATGATTGAATTTAAACCAGTTTTTCCTCACATCTCACCCCACTTTTTTCAGAACTCAAAATTGAATTCAAACCAGTTTTTCCACACATCACCCCAATTTTTTCACACATTAAAAAGGGAAATGAAACTTATTTCTATTGTTTTTTTTCCCTTCAGCAACCACCAGTTAATCTCTCAGCTGGAGACGACGAATTGGCTCAGAAAAGGAAAGATGTGCAGGCTCAACTTTCCTCCTTAAATCCCATTGAAGAAAAGGCCAAACTAGACGAAATTTCACGAATACTGGAAGGATCAGCTGCTATTGTCGACATTCAGAAGCCAGAGAAAACTCAAAATCCTTCTGTCAAGCCCAAACCCCAACCAAAGAATAAATCCAGTGCTCCTTCTCAACCCGAACCTTTGGCCAAGAAGCGCAAACTTGAAGAAACTCAAGATCCATCCCTTTCTTCAAGAACTTTATCCCAGCTCACTGCAAGTTCATCACAGAGTATCACCATTGTTAATCCAGTACAGCCACCCAACAAGGAAATTGGTCCAATCTACACCACCAACCTCATTGAATGTCTCCCAAAATTTATCCAGCCATACGTCGAAAGGATTGAAAATGTGAAGTCGGATGGTCACTGCGGGTTCAGGGCTGTTGCTTTCTGCTTAGGATTAGTCGATGAAGGATCATTCTTGAAGGTTCGAAGCGAACTTGTTAACGAAATCAACAGACGAAAGTTGTTTTACATCAAGACAGGAGGCTTTCGAAATCCTCAAGAGTTGGAAGAATGTTTAGTTAGAATCAATACTAATTCACCTGAGCCGGTTGGTAAGGAGCATTGGATGGCTATGCCAATGACTGCAGAGCCTTTGGCCAATGCTTTTAGCACTCCAGTATTTTATTTCTCAACATCAGGGTCTTTTGGTTTCTTTCCACACTTCACCCCTGCCAACAACAACCCCCCAATTTTCATTGCTTTCATTCCTGAACAATCTCACTTTGTTGCACTTCAGCTGAAGGATCCATTGAATTTCCCATTCCCATATCCTATAGGTTTGAATAGTTGGATAAAACATTCTGATTTTAGAGTTCGAAATTGGCTGGATAAATACTCTAATTCTATTGAATTGGGTAAAAATAACCAGACTTTTTGAATTTTAATAGTTTTTGCATATCACTTTTTTTATCTTTCTCCATGATTCATTGATATGAAATTTGAATTTACTTAAAACTTATTTGGTATCTTACAATCTGTTTTGAGCTAAAAATACTGAGGATAATAATTCATTGTTTAAGACTAAATAACATCATCATCAATATTCTGATCATCAATATTATCTTCTGCTGCTGTATTGGGTTGATCAAAATCAAAATGATGTGTATCCCAATTTTCTAAGCCATCTATTACACATTGTGCCATATCTTGATCTGAAATCTGTGGTAAAGTTGTTCTAGAAATTTTGTGATGTTGAAATGGATCATGAAATGAGGCTGTGTTGATCACAAAATATTTGTCATCTGTATGCATAACTTGAGGCGTTTTTATTTCAGTTTGTTGATGTTCAATGTTTGCTGGTCTGGTCCTCTTGGTTGGGCATCTCCCCCTGTCACAATTATGTTGAACATTAATGCAAGATTGCACATCCTGCCAATGAAAAAGCATTAATTATTTGAATTTGGTAAAAATAAAGAACAAAATAAGATACTTACTATCACATTAAAATAATTTGTAGTTGTTGTCCTACATATTTCCCTCATTGAATACAATTCATTCATTCCCATGAGTTTGAATTGGTTGAAATGAATATAGAACTTTGATCTTGCTCTTGAGTGAAATTCCCATAAAGATTTGACAGATCCAACAAGCAATTCCGAGCCATGGCATTGAATCTGTGATAGCAATGTCAGTTAATATTAGGGGGATGAAGAAAAAGAATGAAATGACTTACAAGTACAAAGTATCCTTTCTCAAGAACATCATGTTTGTTGAGTTGAACTTGACTGACTTGTCTTATGTTGTGGCTGGAGCAATGTTCAATCAATTGTTGAGGGACTTCAAGCTGATCCTCCAAAATGACATTGACTTTCTTTACGAATGGAAATTCTTGAGGTGGAAGTGGGTTTGATGCCTGGAAGCTGTAACCCAAAGACTTGCGGATTACTTCGTTGTTCTGAAAGACGTTGAGGACATCTTGGGAGGCCGTAGAATGAGTTTGAGTTGAATGATCATAAATGTAACCACCAGAGAGTAGAAATCTGTCTGAATAATAGTTACTAAAAGTTATAGCTATATCTCGCCCAGCGCTCTGCTTGTTTGAGTGGATTGATGCGTTTCGTAAGATTCCGTTGAAAGATTCAAATTTCTCTGTAGAACATAGACTTGCTGATCCAAATCGGATGATTGATTCAGGAAGATGTTTAAGGTGATGAAATTTTGGTTTGTTGACCCATTGTGCAGTAGTTCGGATGGCGTGATACAGGAAATTCTTGATATAAATCTTGAGCCGGGTTATATACTCTTGCATATTTTCAATCTTCGTAATAAAAATAAAAGGTACTAGTTGACAAACGGCCGTCCAGATTGCTTTGCGTTCAGGGCTGAGAAATTGGAAGAAGGTGAAAGGAGCTGCTTGGACAAGAACCTTGAATTCTTTTCCAACTAAGCTTTTGATATGTTTCATCATCGAATTAGCATTTATTGGTGGAATATCCAAGGCTTGAGTGTTGAATGATTGAATCCGCCCAACAAATTCGTCTTTCTGCGTTTCGGTCAGATTCTTCCCCATATCGCATGCCAGATATTTGACAATTCCAAGAAGAACCACGTGTAAAATTTCAACAGGGGTATCCTGAACACCATCAAATCCTAAAAAAAAAACAAGTTTTCCTTTTAAATAAGTGTTCAACTTTAACAGCCCAAATTGAAAAAAGGTCACCTTCAAGCTCCAAAAAGGAATTGAACAAGCTTTCTGGTTCCTTTTCTTCAAGTTTTTCCATCAGTTCTCGGATTCGTAAGTTTTTTTTTGCTTCTGTCAAAAACCGGGTGTTTCGTGATTCTGTAAGACCATATTTGAGTTTCCTCCGAACAAACTCTGCATTACTTTCTTCCATTGCCGCACAATATAAGTCGTAAGTTTTCTCTTTTGTATCAATCCAATTTCTTTCTTTTCCTGTTGCCTAAAATATTCAAAAAAGAAAAACCATGAATACACATGAAAAATTGCAAAGAAATATAAATTAATAAATAAAACAAACCTCTGATCCATCAGGGTTTATCATCAAAAATTGTTGAACAAACTCAGGTGTATTCCTCTTATCCTTCCCCTCTGCATGTAAAGTGCACATTCGACATGGATTCAACGAAGTTCCAGGATTTGGTGTATTGGTGATCTCGGCGTGCATGGGCGAATCTGCTAAGAAACACAAGACGATTCCAGTGACCAAGACCTCCTCCATGATACTCGAATCAAATGCCACAAAACCATTTCTGGTTATATCACTGAAATTAAAGAGAAAAAATTGAACAAAAAATAAATCAAAATTGATTTAACAAGTGAATTCCTGGATTAAATTGATACAAAGAAAAACTCACTTCATTTCTTTGACTATTTGCTCAGAGATTTCCAAGACAGATGCTCTATTAGAAGTGGATAAGAAGTGACAATTATATTCCTGATTGGAAATATGGGGGGGTAGTCCAGAAAGTGTAAAGTAAAAAGAGATATGTTTGTTGAATTTTTTGGAGACATTTCCAGAAGTATCGTCAGAGTATAAGGTGATTGGAACATGTCGAATAATTTTTCCTTCCGCCTTTTGACGCCAAGGGTTGGGTAAACCAATCTTTTTTTGTTTGTCTTCATCATTGTATTCTGTGAACATGCATGAAAAAAAGATACGGTTAATTGATATTCAAAACAAAAACATAAGAAGAGGAAGAATAAAATACCATATATTGCATTAGCACATTCCTCAGAGAGCTTTTTTCCATTGATTTCGATTTTGTTGTAGGATTTTTTGAATTGAATGGTTGGGATGATTTGAAGATTGGGATTGTTGAATTCAATATGTTGAGGTATTTTCAATTTAATTATATTCTTGTTGTCTTTTTCGAATTGTCTGAAAACTGGTTCAATGCATTTGGAGTATAGTTGAGAATCTTGATGATAAAAAAAAACTGGAACAACAATTTTTTTGGAAGATAATTCTACAGGTTCGAAAATATAGTAATGTTCTCCTTCCACTTCACACATTGGAGCACGATGTTGTGGAGCCAACTCCTCGAGCCATTTCTTGGATTGGGAGAATTTGAAGTGGCCTTCTGTGGTCATTTCTGGATAATAATCAAGATGTGGGCTAACCAAGGGATTGGCCAAATCCTTTTATCAATAAATAAAAAATCAGTGCTAAGTTTTTCCAATGAAGTCATGATTGCAATAATTTATGATTGAAAAAAATATTCAAGAAAACTTCTTACCTGGGATAAAATTCCCTTGACACTGAGGGAAAAACAAGGCGTCCCAAAGGGACTTTTTTCACTTTTCAATTCACTCTGGAGCAATTTTCGGATGCGGGCTCGCGCGCTGCGGACGGTTGCCCAGGCTGGCAGCCGGATGTCACAGATTGTGATGACAACTCGGACCCTATTGTAAATTAAATGCGATATGAGTGAGTGGGTGTGCCCGATCAACAAAGACCCGGCGAGCTCCTGCGGCAAATTTCAAGTTTTAATCAATGGTAAGTCCTTTATCTCTTTATTTCCTGCTCTTGATTTTTTTTTTGAAAGAAAAAGAAAAACAAACAAAAAACTGACCATTTTGTTTCTGAAAGGGAACCATCTTGAATTTTCCACAGGATCGTTGTCTCGATCATCCTCGTCGGCCGGTCCATCAAAGGTAACGGTATCCTCATTACGCAGTATATTCTCGAGCTCGGCATCAATCAAATCGTCGAGGCCAATTTCATCGTCAAGATTTATATCGCTGGATTCGTCGGGTAGCAGAAACCTTGCAGCGGCACCCATTGCGTCGAGGTCGGCTTGGATATCGTAAGTATCCTCATCCTCCTCATTATCCATGTTGTCTTGAACCTCTTGCTGAGGGTTAGTTTCTTCCCTTTCTTCTTCGATTCTTTCCCGCTGTGCCCTCGCCATCTGCTCGTCGTACTCGCGAACGTTCTCCCGATGTTGAGTGCCGAGGGCGTGGCTGCGATAGCTCAATACTTCGGCCCCATCGCACAAACTACACCGATAGACAGTACGGCCATCTCGTCTCCTCTCTCTAGCTTCAAAAAACGCAGGTAGGTGGGCTTTACACAAAAGGATAGTATCAGTTTCCCTCAAATTTAAAAAAACAAGGTGTTGAACTTACATTGTCCTCGGCTCATCGTTTTTTTTTTCCTATTTTCTACTCAGGTTGGCGATCGAGTGCAGGTTATGGTGGTGGAGAATCCTTGGTGCTGGAAGTCGATCGATCTGATTTGCCGCTTGTGTGCGGCATCAGCTGTGCAAGGGGTCAAGGTGAGTGGTTTGCTGTGATCTCAGGGTTTGTCTCCTCTTGAGAATTCTTTCAAAGTTCGGACTCAGCTGACCCACCCTCTTGACCACTCTTCCCTCCTGATCACTCTACCAATCTTACATCACCCCGGTTTGTCTCTCAAGTCCATAAGGAGTCATGCCCCCTTTCCGAAACCCCGTTTTACGACTCCCCAACCGTACAAAACCGACTCAGGATAAAACGGTCAACAGTTGAGTCTTTCTTCTATCTATCGCTGCTGACCACTTGATCTGATCGTCCTTTTCTTTTCATTTTGTATCTCAAATCAGGCCAGAAACGTCCTCAGCCAAAAACACCCAGCAGTTGAGTTTCTTTTTCCTTCCTCTTGACCGATCAACTGATTCTCTCATTATTTTTTCTTTTTTCTTTTTTTTTGACAAATGGAAAGCCGGAAATAAAACCGGTAGCAGAAAGCGAGCACGAAAGGAACCCTCGGCTCCCCGGTTGACTCCTCCCCCCACAAGTCCTGTCCGATCTCCATCGTTCCATCCGAGTGAGGACGAACAAAGCTTCCATGGTAACGAGGACGACGAGGCCGATCCGGACGATAACCCGAGCCAATCAATTGGCTTTCATGGTAACGAGGCCGATCGGAATGGTAACCCGAGCCAATCGATTGGCCTCCGTGGTAACGAAGCCGATCCGGACGGTAACCCAAGCCAATCGATTGGCTTTCGTGGTAACGAAGCCGATCGGAATGGTAACCCAAGCCAATCGATTGGCTTCCGTGGTAACGAGGCCGATCGGAATGGTAAACCGAGCGACTCCATCTTTAATCTTCAACAGAAGACGCGAGCCATCGACCCGATCCGCGCGGATATCTGGATCCGATGTCGTGATCTCTAATTATGTGTGTTTTACTACTTTGACAAAAGAAACACTAGAATTCTCTGCTCAATTGGTCAACAAGTTTTGTGCGATGTCAAAGTTAGATGACGAGCACTTCTCACTTGCTCTGGAAATATGTAATGTAAGTTATTTCTTTTCTTTTTCTCATTGAATTTCAAAACACATTGGTAGATTCTACTGACTTCTCGTCTTGAAAAATAGACTCCAGGCGCTTCAATTCCATTCATTGTCATGAGGGAAGTGGGACGCATTCAAGAGGAATCAGAGGCTGCTGACCACTCTGTTCCGACTCATCCGATAGCACAGAAAAAATGGAATCGCGATACAAGGTTCGACTCATGCAAAGTTCAAATACAGTCCAGTATTCAGAGTTAGTCGTCTGTTTTCTATCATGCTTTCTTTACCCACTCATCCATTTATTTATTTTTTCCCCTTCTGCTACAGGATCGTATCCGTGATCTCACCAAGGAGGCTTTCCTTCGACACGATATCCAGCTTTACACCAGGGGAAAGTATAAGCCTGGCACCAGCGATGTCTCATTATTGAGAGTTGTGATGGTAAGTCTATTTCCGTTCTCTAGTTGAAGTCTCTTTTGATTTTCTAACTGTAGATGTGGCAGGATTCCTTGGAAAAACTCCCCCTTGAGTTTCGAAGAAGAGAGCTCCCTCCCAACTACGATACAGACGCACAGACGAAAAAAGAACTCATCGGAGTTGTCCGCGAAATCCAGAGGCGTGTCAGATTGATGATCCGTGAGCGGCTTCTTGATGGAATCGTTCAGTCAAATGGCCAAGTGGCAGAGGATGGACTTGTGCCATCTCTTTATGAGCTATGCGAGACCATCTATCGATTCCTCCACCCTGGCGAAGCATCGATGTCAAAGGCAACTGTAAGAAAAAACATCACAATCCTTTGGGCTGGCCGGATTGGTCACCTTCGATTACAAACAGTCGATCACCTGATCCACCCGCAGCTATCCAAAGTCTCCCAATGGGGCTTGATTGATGAAAAACTCAAAGAACTCAGAGCTCGTGGGACTGATTACACTTCTGCGTGAGTTTATTTTATTTCTTCTCTGTTTTCCTGCAATAAACTAACAACTTGTTTTGATTGCTGGACGGTGTACA